CTATAATTCCGGCTACTTGGAAGGCTGAGGCAGAAGGATCGCCAGAGCCCAGCAGGTCAAGGCTGCGGTGGCCGGGAGCGGCCACTGCACTCCAGCCTGGGCAACAGAGTGAGACTCCAATTCAAAAAAAAAAAAACCATCTCAGGCTGGGTGCAGTGGCTCACACCTATAATTCCAGCACCTTGGGAGGCCAAGGCGAGAGAATTGCCCGAGGTTTGAGACTAGCCTGGGCAACTTGGCGAGACCTCATTTCTACAACAGATCAAAAAATTAGCCGGGCATGGTGGTATGTTCCTGTAGTTCCAGTTACTTGGAAGGCTGAGGTGAAGGATCGCCTGAGCCAAGCAGTGTGCCACTGCCCTCCAGCCTCGGTAACAGAGTGAGACTCCAACCCAAAAAAAAAAAAAATCATCTAAGGAGCTTTTTATTTTTATTTTTTTACATTTCCCCCCCAATCATTCTCTTCATTAAATTTTCTTTTATTTTTTTTGAAACAGGGTCTCATTCGGTTGATAGTGGCATGATCATTGCTCACTGCAGCCTTGACTATCTGGGCTCAAGAATCCTCCCACCTCAGCCTTCTGAGTAGCTAGAACTACAGGCATATATCACCGTGCCCAGCTAATTTTTAAATTTCTGTACAGATGGGGTCTCTCTATTGTCCAGGCTGTTCTCAAACTCCTAACTTCAAATGATCCTCCTAATTCAGCTTCCCAAAGTACTGGAGTTACGAGCATGAGCCACCACATCAAGATAAAATTTTAATATCACATATAAACTGTATATGCGGTATGTGTAGTATATCTGTGCTTTATACATTTTTTTCTTTTTGAGTTGGAGTCTCACTCTGTCGCCCAGACTGGAGTGCAGTGGCCGCTCCCGGCCACCGCAGCCTCGACCTGCTCGGCTCTGGCGATACTTCCACCTCAGCCTTCCCAGTAGCCAGAATTACAGGCATGCGCTACCACGCCCGGCTGATTTTTTGATTTATTGTAGAGATGAGGTCTCGCTGCCCAGGCGGGTCTTGAACCCGCGGGCTCAGGCAATCCACTCACCTTAGCCTCCCAAAAGCTCGGGATTACAGGCTCAGCCACTGAGCCCGGCTGCTTTATGCATTTTAAAAAGTGTTTTTCTTGGCTGGCTGTGATGCCCAGTAGTCCCAGCACTTTGGAAGGCTGAGGTGGAAGGGATAGCTTGAGTCCAGGAATACGAGACCTCATCTCTACAAAAAATAAAAAAATTAGCTGGGACTGGTAGCATGCCTGTAGTCCCAGATACTTGGGAGGCTGAGGTGGAAGGATCTCCCGCACCCAGGAGATCGAAGCTGCAGGGAGCCATGTTCAGGTTCAAGCCACTGCACTCCAGCCTTGGTGACAGAGCAAGACTCTGACTCAAAAAAAAAAGAAAGAAAAAGAAAAGAAAAACTTTTCTCTACCCCCAACCAATGCTCTAGGGGAGTCTGGGTTTTCTAATTAATGCCTCAGGTGATTTTTGTCACCAAGCAATTTTGGAAAACATAGCAGTCCTTTAAGGTATGAGGTATTTTTATGACCATTACACAGAGAAGGAAAATGAGTCTGATGAAAATCAAGTGACTGGTCCAAGATCACTCAACCAGGAACCAGGCATTCAATCCAAGTCCTCTGGCTCCAGATTCTTTCTTCATCTGCAGGTTTTTTTTTTTTTTTTTTGAGTTGGAATCTCACTCTGTCGCCCAGACTGGAGTGCAGTGGCTGCTTCCGGCCACCGAGCCTCGACCTGCTGGGCTCCGGCGATCCTTCCGCCTCAGCCTTCCCAGTAGCCGGAATTACAGGCATGCGCTACCACGCCCGGCTGATTTTTTTGATTTATTGTAGAGATGAGGTCTCGCTGCCCAGGCGGGTCTCGAACCCGCGGGCTCAGGCAATCCACTCACCTCAGCCTCCCAAAGGCGCGGGATTACAGGCTGAGCCACCGAGCCCGGCAGGAACTGCATTTCTAACAAGTTCCCAAGTGTGATAATGCCCAGGGATCACATTTTGAGAGTCACTGGACTGAGCTATCCTAAGCTTTTTACTATTCCCAATGGGGTTGGATTAGCTGTGATCTGGGAGGCAGTACCTAGGAGTTAATAATTTAGGCTTCAAAGGCACATAGTTCAGGGATCAAGTACTTATTATGTAACAACTTACTCTGAGGATCTTAAGCAAAGTTACCTGAAGTTCAGTGTCCAAATCTGTATATGAGTATAATAGATCCTACCGCCTAAGATGTAGATTCTAGAAGATCCAAGGCGGGTAGTTGGTGGTTTCCCAAGGAGAAGCCTAGTTTATGAGACCAAGGATTTCCAGCCTGGCCATTTCCTCATTCTCCCACGCTTTGTGGCTCTGGTTCCCAAATTCCCCAATCCAGAACTCAGTCCATTGTTGGCCTGATCAGAATGCAGGACCAGTGGTTGACGGAGCCTTGAGCTACCTTCATTTTCCTGCCTTGGCCTTGGACATCCAGGGCTGTTCAGGACAGAATCCAGGCCTGCTTGAGCAGGGACCAGAAGCCAGGGGAGCCAGTTGCCAGCAAGGGAAGATCTCTAAGCCTCTTGGGAAAGGAGAAGGAAAGGAAACAGGGATGCAGAGCTGGAAAGAGTTGGGAGAGAAAGCCCAGCAGTCCACATGCTGCCTGTCGCCTGTCGCT